ACATGGGGTTAAAGGTATGTACCACTGCACATGGTTTTTCATATCTAGTCTTAGCATAATGATCATTTTATGGCTTTTTGTCTATTCTTAGTATCTAACGATCATTTCTTATCTAACCATATAATACATTGATAACATCAAAATTACATTGATTTACGATTTTCCATCACTATAATAATTTTGAGATTTATTCAATAGTTTGTTGGTCTTACAAATATAGTTTCTTCCTTATAATTGAGTATTCCACTCTGAAAATGCTGTAATTTTTTGTTGTTGTTGTGCTCAGAGCCTCACATATACTAGGGAAGTGCTCGACCACAGATCACACGTTCTACCCCAAATATGTTTAAAATATATTTAGTTTCCAAATATTTGTCTGTCATTAAAAAATTTTATAGAAGTATATATGTAAACCAATGTTTTCATTTCTCTAGTATAAATATCTATGACATTCTCTATGATTATATTTTGTCTCCACTACTAGCTTAGAAGCTGATTGAATTTTTGTTATCTTTATGATGGTTAACTCGACTGTCTTGAAAGATGCCTAGAAGACGGTAAAGTACACTTCTGGGTGGTCCTGCAAGGATTGTGGAGGCACGACCTTGGGGACCATATCTAGTCCATCGCATCTTTCCTCTTTGGTGCTCTTCCCCTGTTCTCTGCTATCCAGAGGCCAAAAGTTGAGCAGCTTTCCTCCAGTATGCCCTTCTGCCATGAAATTTCTTCTTTGATCCAGAAGACCATGGACAGAAACCGTGAGCCAAATAAGCCTCTTTAAGTCACAAGTATCAATTATTTTATTCCAACAATGGAAAGTTGACTAATCCAATCTCTGATACTGTTTTTCATTCCAAGCATTTGTTTTATTTTCTTTATATTTTTCATACAACCTGTTTTTCTCCATCTTTTCATAAATGTTGTTTACCTTTTCTGTTAAGTCCTTTAACATACTATTCATAGCTATTGAGAAGTCCTTGTCTAATAGCTTTGTAGTCTGGGTTCTTTTTGCATTTGGCTTCCCTGATTGTTTTTTATCTCTTGACTATGAATTAAGCATTTTTGTTCATTTTACAATTTCTATTGAATGCTAGACATTATATGTAGAAGAACAGTACAGACTAAGAAAATGATATTTATTCCTGGAACTGGGCATTCTTCTTGCCAGGGTGACAGTATAGAGATATAAGAACTGAGTCCATACATTTAGTACTGAGTTCTGTTTAGGTTCATTGTTTACATTTACATTTAGCATACCATGAGCTTCTAAGCTCCCCAGGAAAAGGATGATTTTACTTTGTTATACTATGTACCAATGTTTTTCTCATTGTTCCTCTTGTACTCTTGGCTTTAGCACTGTGTACACCTGCAATATTAAGGGATATATTTTTTTCCGTGGTGGTAGATTGCTCTTAAATGTTTCTCAGTGCTAAGGTTATGGTGGGGAGCAGGGGAATTCATGGGTCTCCTGGTACCAAGTCAGCATAATGTGGACTGTTTCCTGCAGCTGAGCATTACATGTCTCACTCACAATCAAACCATGTCTTGTTATTGTGAGTGGTCCTGAAAGGGTTCTTCTTCATCCATAAGGAGCAACAAATCTCTGATTTATATCACTGCAAGGTCCTACATCCAGTAGAATTTCCTACCCACTCCTTAGGAAAGACAGCTTTGTTCCTTACCTAATCCCATATGTCACCCATGGGCTAGGTATGCTAGGGTAGTATGCAGTAGTAGTTTTTCAAGAGATTGGAGAAAACACCTGGAGAAGGATTTTGTGAAAGATAAGGTTTATTAAGGCTAACTAATAGGTACTAACAGGGAAGTAAGGGTTAACTGAAACTTACTTCAAAGGGAAAATCCACAGACGTGCATAAGAGTTTAAAAGTAATTCTTTGGCAAAATCTTATAGAGTTAAGGAGGTGGTCCATGAGAGACATGTATTGTACCTAACAGCTTCACCCATGAGGTTTACTGACAGCAAGTTAGATAAATTATTCAGCTCCACAGGTTACTATGGGGAATGGGTTTTACAGCTTAAACTATGCAACAGTGACATCATTAGCTATATTACACTACATGATTTAACATACAGGTAGAAAAACAGCTCTTACAGATAACACTAGATTGCCCAGTTTCTAGCATCCTTTAGACAACATGTATATGGATGGATATTCTGGTCCTTGTCTGTTCAGAATGTCACCTTGACTTGACAGGAGTCTTAAAAATGGAGGGGGGCAGTGGTTCAGAGACATGATGCTAAATGTACTAGTTTTTCACAGGGATGATATGCCTTAGATCCTGGATCCTGGAGTGGGCTTTGAAAACTAGGAGAGGAGGCTTTGCCTCTTCCATAGTAGCTTAAAGCTTCTGCTTAGTACAGAAAAGTATCTTGGAAGTAGACAGGGTTTTGAGCTTGTGCTCCTAATGGGGGAACTCTATGGTTTCCCAGTTAGTATGTGGTGGAGATCAGTAGAAATAAAACTTGTAATGGACTCCGCTGTTTTGGAACTCCCTGTTGCTGTGACCTGTCATGACAAGCCTATAGCGGTGGCAAACCTATGGCACATGGGCTGCAGCAGGCTGTTTGTAGGCTCTAAAAGGCTCTAAAAGGTCCAGCAACACTGGCCTAGGATCAGCCTTTTAAAATGTGCTACAATTTCAGCTGTTTGCTTTTTATCCACTTTTATGGGAGATGTCTCTTCTACTCCTTCTCTATTAAAGAAGAAAATGTTCTTATGTCTTATCTCTCCTTCCAATAAACTAGAAAAGGGAGGAAACTTTTTCCATATAAAAGTCATCCATGAAAAACTTACAATAACATCATAATTAATGATCAAAGATTGAATTGAATGCCTTCCTCAGAGTCTGGCTACAAGGTTAAGGTTTTCAGTCACTACTACTATTCACAATTATACTAGTCACCCTTGAACATAACAGTAAGAAAATAAATAAAAGGCATATAGAATAACTGAGTGCCTTTATGTACAGACAAAACGATCCTCTGTGTTCCAGAATTAACTATTAAAGTATAAAGTGAGTTTGCAGAAGCAAAGAATAAAAGGTGAATATATAAAAATTCAATAGTAATTCTATATTTAATAAAAATTAGAAATTTAAATTTAAATACTAATTTTAAGAGCAAAAAGAGACATGAAATACCTTGGAATAAATCTTAAAAAATGTATTCAAGAGAACTAGAAAACACTGTAGACCTAAATTAAAGAGAGATACTCTTTTTCACAGATCAGAAGACTATTATTAAGAAGGCAATTCTTCCAAATTTATCTATAGATTCAATATAATTCCAATAAAAATTGCACATGCTTGACAAAAGCTGATTCTGAAGTTCATATGGAAAAGTAAAGAACCTACAAAAGATGATTTTGAAGGACAAAGTAGAGGCTGAGCTCTGCAATTTCAAGATTTATTATAAAGCTATAGTGTCTTAGTCACTTTCCTCACCACTGAGACAAAATACCCAACACCTGCAACTTAAAGGGAGAGAGGTTTATTTTGTTTCAGTCCATGGTTGGGTGGCTCCAAGGCAGGTCTCAGCAGGGCAGGGGGGCCTAGCTGAGGAAAACCTGCTTACCTCATGACTTTCAGGAAGCAGAGTAAGAATGAAGAGAGCTGGGAAAGAAGATACACCTTCCGGGTCACACCCTCAGTGACCCACCTCTTTCATCAGACCCCAACTCCTAATAGCAAGTCTGCCATAATGCCTCCGTAAATCATTCACCTTTTAAAAGCCCCACCTAAGAGCATATGAGGTTCTTGGGGGCCATCTAGATCTAAACCATAACATAGTAATCAAGTCTTTGCGGCATAAGGTGAAATTATATAGAACAATGAAACAATAGATTTGAGAAACAGACCCATATGTATATAACCAACTGATTTTTTTATGAAGGTGCTAAGGAATGTTTTTTTTGTATGGGGATCAAACTCCTGAGTCTGAGATAGGCACAAAGCCACTGAGCTAAATCCCCAGTCCTAGGAAATTTAAAGATATATAGTCTTTCCAACAAACAACAACTGAAAATCTATATGGAAAAAAAATTTTAATTGAATCAAATCAAACCAAACACATCTTTAACTTCTGCCCTTAATGTGCAATATATATATGTATACACACACACACATATACATACACACACAAACACACACACTAAATTTAACTAAAAATAGTTCATAAATTAGGCTGAGGATGTAGGCAGGAACTTTTTGATGTGATAGAAATGTTCCATATCTTGACTGTGGTGGTAGTTACCTTACTGTATACATTTGTCAAGCTTCATCCAGCTACACATTTTGAAAAGGCACATTTCACTTTATATAACTTATACCTCAATAATCTGTACTTTAAAATTTTTTTGAAGGGGTGGATACTGGGGATCAAACTTGGGCCTGTGTGCTTGCAAGGCAGGCAGCAGAACCACTAAGCTAAATCCCTGACCCTAAAACTTACACTGTGAAAAAAAAAAATCTCAGAATTGAAAGGGATTACATTCAGTATTCAGTTTGTTATGCTGACAACAACGACAACAACATCATGTGATGGGTTTACTTGATAGTCAAACCAAGATTTAAAAACTCTCAACCGTCCAAATTTATGGGAACCTAAGCACATCTACGTATATAGGACACTAGGATACCAGTGAAACATGACTGACTTAACTGAAAAAGAAAAAAAAAGATTATTTAGAGTAATTATGTAGTAAAACCATACAAAAAACTGTTAACAATGATGAATACTTATGTAACAAGGATGCATGCACACACCGGCACATATTATATATTCTACTCCATCAAAGTGTAATTTATATTAAAAGGACCAATATATGGATATTTAAAGTAGTGTTTGAATATACATGCATTTTTTCCATGAGTTATGTTAATAAATAATAAGCATGTAAGTAATCTACTTATTTAAAAACATTAAAACATATTAAAGAATTTATATGAAGACAAATATATGGTGGCCTAGCAAGGAGTACCTTAGCAATAGCTGTTTGTTTAAATATGTGCGTAATCAATCCCATAACAGTCTCTGTGCCACTTCGATTTGGAGCTCTCATTAAGTTTTCCCACTCTTCAAAACTGTTTTTCAATTCCTATGTGGGATGAAGAAACTTTGTTTAGGAATACAGCATAAAGAACAGAACAATGCAATCATGAATCATGTCCTACATTTTTTTCTTTTCTGTAAAGAAAGATATAAAAATAAAATTCCCATAGATGCCAATGTGTTAATTTAAAAACACTAAATGCAGAGGTCAGTCATATGGTCATGCCAATTATAGAAACCAATTACAAACTACAGGTGAAAAGAGAGCCCTTTGCTAACATCATAAGGCAAACAATTACAGCTTGTATCTAAAGAGAATTATTTTATAAAATGAAAATTAAAACTGAAACATATAAAAGCATCATAGTGAAAATGTATATATTTTTATTTAAAGAAGCCTAAAGATTTGGAAAATATTAAATAAAAATAAAACATAAACAATATATTAGCTCTCCATTTTATTTTCTCTCTAATGCTAAGATGGTAGATCAAGGGTCGGATTTAGCTCACCCAAGATAGATCCCAGTACCAAAAAAAAAAAAAAAAGAAAGAAAAAAAACCAACCAACCAAACAAAAATAACCCAGTAAAATGGTAGATCAAGAAAATTGATCATTCTGTGCATAACACATTGCTCAAGGTTTACAAAATGCTTACTTTAAGCTTTCAAGATTTAACAATGAAGGGGCCAAGGATTTAGCTGAAAGGTTCTGCCACCTGACACGCAGCGCAAGGTCCTGAGTTCATTCCCCAGTACCAAAAAAACAAAAAAAAAGATGCAACAATGAAAATTTCCCTGGCCACCAGATTTGTGGACATTTTGAGAATATGTAAAAGCTGAAATCCCCAAAAGTAAATAGAGACAAGGATTACGTAAAATACACTGTTGGCTTTCTGGTATGTTGAACTTCACATCTTATGACATGATCATAGGAATACAGGACTTCAAAAATAGGGATCCATGTAAGATATTTTAGAAGATAGTCATTCTTTAAAAATAAAAGGGGATTGAGCTCAATCAATGGCACTGAGCCTGCCTCACAAGCATAAGGTCTTGAGTTCAATTCCTGGTACCAAAAAAAAAAAAAAAAAAAAAAAAAAAATCCTACAGCAAGAAATACAGTTTCCCTTGCTACTTATTGGGTTTCATAAGCTATATACATTTTGATTTCTTAAGGCTAAATCTTTGTTACCATTAAAGTACTTTACTCAGCAGAAATCTTTTAAATCACTAGGACACTGTATCTGTTCACATATTTGACAGCTAATATTCAATTCTTCCTGTTCTCTTCTTGAAATGATACAAACCAATTTATCCGCTCTATTAATTAAAGTTATTTTAAGAAAGGAGATTTTTCTTCCTGTGAATATGAAATATGAACAATCTTTTAGAGTAAAATTTAAAATAAGACTTTCAATCAAATACAGGTTCTCACCTTGGCTATTAATGGTGGAAGATCAAATGGAATACGCTGTCTGATTTTCGGGGGTAGTTGGGTTAAAACTTCAGTCTTTAATCTTCTAATCATTATATCACTTAATAGCTGGTGAAGTTCATTAAGATTTGATGCCCCTCGATAGTCCCACTGAGGCCTTTTACCAAAATATCTGTTAATATGAAGAAAAATATATAGCAGAACTGAATGCTAGGGTTAAGAAAACAATTTATCCAGTATGTTCTTCCTTTTAATGACAAGGAGCCATGATACTTTTTGTCATGAAAACAAGATTTTTAAAAGTTCAACTTGTGTGGGGCCAGGGATTTAGCTCAGTAAACCCACTGCCTGCCTCACTACACTAGCGCAAGGTCTTGAGTCCGATCCCTGGTACCAAATAAAAAAAAAGTTCAACTTGTGAAACTATAATGAAAAAGATTAGACCCCATTCAACTGTGGACACTATTAGTGTCTAAACTCTGTTCACACTAAATTAAAGCATGGCTTGGATGAACTGATAACTCTGAATGGGACTAGGTCAGTGTTTCTAAATGGAGGCCCTACTGGCATTTGATTGGGCGCTTAGCAGAACTACCGCTATGCAGGTTTGAACTGGCAGCATACTAGCCAGTCATTCAAACTACCAAAACTACCTCCAACATTTTCCATATGAGATACTGTCTCCAATCAACTTGTCATGTACACCAGATCTATTACTTGGTTTTCTCTTGTTCCTTTGAAACCACTGGATTGATACCAATTCATTTTTTTAAAGTCATAGATCCACTCTGAAAGAAAAAGAAAGAGGAGACATCAGTGGATAAGTGATTTCAAGAAATACTGAGAGGGCACTAGCAGATGGAAAAGTGGTAACTGACATGGCAAAAGAAAGAAAGCTTCCAACTTAAAATGCTTGCATAAGACGACTTATCCTACAGACCCCTGAGAAGGTAAGAAATTGGAAGTGCAAGTAATGTTAGCAGGTGTTAAAACAAGGGTTGAAATCTAGTGGATCAGCTGAATTTAAAAAGCAGGACAGCTGGTGCAAAAATATCCCCCATCACTGTGACAACTAAAATACTACCCCCATAAAACTCCCCATAATCTCTTAAGGATTTATATTTATTACCCATCTTTGAAAATAGCTGTAAAAAAATAATCAGCAAAGGAAAATTCCTGTTAGGTTTCATGATTACTGGCCTTTTTAATGGAATTTAAATTTATTTCAGCACAAATAGATGTTAGAGAAAAAAGCAATGTGAAATACTACTTTTTTGACGGATTACACTTAAAATACAGAAGCAGTACAACTAATGTTCAAAACTGTACTTGTATTGTGGACTTGATTAGGAAACTATAGTGAATGGGTGGAATCTATTACATGATAATGATACAAATACCATTTAGTTGTCATCAATAATAAATTTACCTCAACCATATAGTGAGACCCTGTCTAAAAAAAAAAAAAAAAAAAGACTAAATACATTTTGTGCTGTGTGATACATATAAGCCTTCAGGTAACTAAATGTTGTGGTGAATCTTAAATTTCCCCCAAAAGCTCATATGGCAAAGTCTTTGTCATCAGCATATGGTATTACTGAAGGTGGTAGAAACTTTAGGAGATGGGGAATAGTTAGAAGATGGAGGTCACTGGAGGTAAGACCTTGAAAGGGATTTTAGGATCCCAGTGCCTTCCTATGTCACTATTTGCTTTAAGGCCACCATGAAACAAGCAACTTTATTCCACCACACAATTCCTACCATGATGTTCTGCCTCTCAACACAACTGACCATGGACTAAAAGCTCTGAAAATCATGAGTCAAAATAAATCTTTCTTCCTTAAAAAAATAAAAATAAAAATAAATTTAATTATTTAAAAGAATCTAAGTGCTGTTATTGCACAAAATATTGACAGATTTATTTTCAGTTGCTGAAAATGGAGTTGCTGAAACCTGTCCACTAACATAGTTTGACTTCCTTGAATGTACTGTCATCATATTTATATTAAAAATTCACAAACTAATAAAAAGTGGGAACATACTTGATAACATCTGATTCTATCACCTGTTTTCCCATTCATATCCATAAGTATATTTTGATGACACAGCTATTTTTAAAAAATTAACACTACAGGGCCGCAGATGTAGCTCAGTGGTTCCACAGCCTGACTCATATGCACAAGGTCCCGAGTTCGATCCCCAGTACCAAAACAAAAATTAACACCACAAACCACCAATAATGAAAAGAAGAATCATGCATGGGGGCAAATTGAGTCTTTAGATTTTAACCTTAATTTCTTTTTTTTTTTAACCTCAATTTCTTGATTCAACATATTCTAACAGAAAGTGGAGTAAATGCTAGTTTGTTGCCTTTGAAACCTGTTCTTAGAAAAATCCTTAGTTTTAAAAGTAAGAGATTATTCTTCTAAATCAACAAACCTACCGAGTAAATTTTATCCACTTTGATCTCATAATAAAGTTAATAGAGTAATTCAATGTACAACTTTCTGTGGCTTGACAAAATTGTCTATACTATTATGCATCTCCAAATTTGTCATAAGATAAACACTAATAAAAAACTAGCTGAGCTAAACAAAACAATACAAAACATGAACAGCCAATCTAGCAACAAAATAAGAGTCCATGAAAGGTACTAAATGGAAATAAAAGAGATAAAAATTCTAATGGAAGTACAGGCAGCAGGAGTGACTAATGTGAGGAAAGAATGTCAGAACTAGAAGACAGAACTGATGTAGGTGACCATATACTCAGATATCTTCAAAACAAGAAAAGATCATGAAAAATGAATCCAACAGCTACTACATGATACAAAGAAAACAATCTAAGATTAACTGGAATTAGTGAAAAATCAGAAGAAACCACAAATGGCATTAAAAAAAATCTGCTTATAAAATAATAGTAGAAAAATTTCCAAATATAAGGCAAGAATTAAGCACAGATAAGTGAGATATATAGAACTACAAATAACCACAATCATGAAAGAACTTCTCTATGATACATCACAGTCAAAATCCCAGAAGTCTGAAATAAGAATACAATCTTAAAACCTGTGAGAGAAAAGCAACAAAAAATTTATATTTTTATTTTTGTTTTGTTTTTGGTACTGGGGATCAAACTCGGGACCTTGCGCTTGCAAGGCAGGCAGCAGAACCAACAATAATCTCTAAAGATAAATCTATAGAACTACAGCAGACTTAACACAAACCTGAAAGGCCAGGACAGCTTGACATGAAGTGTTTTAAGCACTAAAAATACTTCCAATCTAAATTGATACATTCTTTTTTTGTTTTGTTTTGTTTTTTGAGACAGGGTCTCACTAGGTAGTTGAGACTGACCTGGAACTCACTATGTAGCCCACGCTGGTCTCGAACTCACAGTGATCCTCCTGCCTCACCCTCCTGAGTGCTGGGATTACAGGTCTGTGCCACCATGCCTGGCATTAGATTGATATATTCTGAAAAAAAAAATCTTTCAAAATTGATAAAGGAATAAGGTATTTCCTGTAGCTGAACCGAAGGCACAAAACTCAAGGTAAATATTGCCTGCTTGGTTATATCATTTCAGAAGTTTGATGTCTTCCACTATATATAATTTTTTTTTGTTTTGTTTTTGTTTTTTTGTACTGAGGATTGAACTTTGGCCCTTATGCTTGCGAAGCAGGCGCGGGAACCACTGAGCTAAATCCCTGGCCCCGCTATATATAATGTTTAATGGAAGAATCATGGCTGATTGGGGGAATGATGGAATTTATGGTTCTAATGTCAATACAGAATTCATTTGGGAAGATGTGAAATTTTCTGTGATGGATAAAAGTGATGGTTGCACAAAAATAGCACTGTATTCAGTGCTAACAAATTGTATTTAAAAATGGTACATTTAGTTATATTTATCTTAGCACAGGTAAAAATGGAAATAAAGAGATGAGGAATTTTAAAAAGAGAAAGCAGGTATTTCCATGAAAGATAGCACATTAAGAAATTCATGATCAACAAACCAGCACTATAAAAAACCCTGAAGGATAGCCTACAAAAAGACAATGAAGCCAACAGTACCAAAAATGTGTAACAGAAAAAATATACAAGATATAGCAAGCAGTTAAATAGAAGGGAAAAAAAAGGAATCACCACAGGAAAATAATACAAGGACAGGAACAAGTCAGTAACTTTCAGTAGTAACTCTCAACGTGCATAGTCTCAACTCTCCGATCAAAAAACAAAGTTTAGCCAAATGGATCATAAAACAAAACCCAAAAGTATGTTATATGTAAGAAATACATTTAGACCAAGTTTGATAGCACATGCCTATAATATAAACACCAGAGAAGCTGAGGCAGGAGAATCTCCACAAGTTCAAGTCCAGCCTGGGTTAAATAGTGAGTTCAAGGTCAGCCCAAACTACATAATGAGATCCAGTCTCAACAAAACAAAACAACAAAAACCAGCAAACAGAGAATGAAGAAACATATAAACATATTTAATAATAATAAAAAAGACTAAAATTCAAAGTAGAGAAAACAATGCTTTATTCAATGGAAAGCCCAAAATCAAGCAACAGTAGCTATTCTATTTCTAAACAAACTGAACCTCAAACCAAACCTGGTGAGAAAAGGCAAAGAGTGTCATTATGCATTGGCTAAGGAATCATTCAAAAAGAACAGATAATAGTTATAAACATATATGAAATGTCTACCAGTACACCCAACTTCATGAAACAAATACTGTTAGTCATACAAGATCACATAAAAATATACACAGTTATATATATATATTGGGGAACCTCAATACCCGACTATCACAATTAGATAAGCTGCACAAAAAAAATCAACGAAGAAATATCAAAGATGAAATACATCTTCAAACAGATGGACTTAATAGGTATCTAAGAAGTGTTCACCCTCACAACAGAATACACATTCTTGGGCTGGGGAGTTAGCTCAATGGTTCCACCACCTGCCTCACAAGCACAAGGTCCCCAGTTCAATCCCTGGCACCAAAACAAAACAACAACAATAAAAACGAGAATACACATTCTTCTTGGTAGCACACGAAACTTTCTCTAAAAGATCATATAGCAGCCCATAAGTAATTACAAAAGAATTGAAATTATCTCATGTGTATTATCAAACATAGTCCAATGAAACTAGAATCTAGT